GTCGACATTTTGAAATTTCGCTATGGACACGAAGTCGACCCGCGCTAAACTTTGATGTTGAATATGAATGTTTTATATGTTCTTTTCCGTTTATCTTCTGAGGTTCTGCGTATGAAGAGATTGACGCAAGATGGCCATTCGGCGTGTCAGGACTGCCTATGGTTTGTAACACGTTTGATTCACCGTTTCAGTATTTGAAACATTGAAGGCATTCTGACAACGTTATAAGCAAGTGTTTATCGATGAGTGAGTGAGTGAGTTTAGCTTTACGCCGCACTCAGCAATATTCCAGCTATATGGCGGCGGTCTGTAATTAATCGAGTCTGGACCAGACAATCCAGTGATCAACAGCAAGTCCATCGATCTGCGTAATAGTCAACTAAGACAGCGAGCCTGACCACCCGATCCCGTCAGTCGCCTCTTACGACAAGCATGGGTTATTGAAGATCAATATTCTAACCCGGACCTTCACGGGTCGTTTATCGATGATATTATCTCGCAAATGTAAACGTATTTTCCACGTATGGTGGCTAAAGCACTCACAGACAAGGCAATTGTTCATCTGAAAAACACAGGAACATACGATACCAGCCAAAACAATGAATATATCACTGGACATCTTTTATGTCGCATGTGCGTCCATTTTTTGAAATGTCAACAACAACAATAAACAAGAAAACTATAACCTCGATCTCAGATATACACTTACTCTACCTAAAGTACATGTGTACATATCTACACTTACCTTGCCCATTGTGAATTAACTATATCTATACTTGCCCTCTCCCAAGTACGTATTTATCTACACTTACACTGTATATATATACACTCTTACCCTGTCTTATATACATACTTATTTATAAACACTTACTCTGTCTCAAGCACATGTATATCTACAATTACCCAGTCTCAAATACATCTACATATCTTCACTTAGCTGTCTAAAGTAGACATATATATACACTTAGAGTGTCTAAAGTATGTATATATCTGAACTTACCCTGTCTGAAATACATATATATTTACATTGACCCTGTCTAAACTACATGCATATCTACATTTAGGCTGTCTAAACACATACATCTACACTTTCCCGGTATAAAGTACTTATTTATCTACGCTTACCTTGTCTCAAGAACATATTTATCTACACCTACATGCATATTTATCTACAAATTTAGAGTTATCTCCTTCCATCGATTTGCATTCGCAAATAGTCGGTGATGCCCGTACATCATACGTGACTCAATGATTCGAGATAAAGAATGACTAACACGAAGTACCAGAATTACAACAGTTCGGCATTTTCAGCGGGTAACATTAAAAAGATATTCGCTTATGATCGTGGTACAATAAAAATAAAAGAAGTGCGCTCAGCCATTCAGGAAATGACATTTATATTTGAGGTAAGATAAATATTTTTTTACACCTGGACAAAAGTTAAGCAACACCCTATATTTTTCTGAGTGATCACTTTGAGATTGTGGGAAATTTTCATGAGTGTTATAAACAATCAAACAAACGTCTTTTTTATAGCAGATGACAAAGGCAAACTATGACCAACTGATTTTTACTGATTTTAAGTGCGTACACTGAAACATTGAAACTTTGCTGAATGGTACATTTCAACAGAAAAATTAACATGATAAAACTATCCTCAATGCGGGTAAATTAGGCAAAGCACTGACCATATTAGGTGTTAGAAATGTTCATTGTCCATTTGCAAGTTATTCTGAGCAAGGAAAACTTAATATCGTGTGTAGGATCCACGGACATTGATGACTGCTTGGAACCTCCGTCTCATACTCTGTACAATTCTTTGAATGCATCAACCTGTTCCTTTCTGCATGAAGTGCTGCTTTCAGCTGAGCCAGATTCTGTACTGGGGGATCACGGTTCCTGATTGTCGGGTTCAGATCCGGACTACAAGCTGGGCAAGGGAGGGTGGTGATGGCTTCTTGTCACAATAACTCGGTTACCGCTATGGCTTTGTGTGGTCTAGCATTGTCGTCCATGTAGACAGGTCTTGTGCGCAGAGGGTGGTTATCGGAATGAGGGATAACAACTGGACATAAGATGGCATCCTGATATTGTTGACCACTAAGGTTCCCTCTGACTGTCACAAGAGGCAACTTGCAGTCGTAGGATACACAACCCCAGATCATGACTGATCACCCTCCACATGATCCCCAAATCCATATATATATATATATATATTCCAGTACACTTACCCTAGTCGTAAGTACATGTACATATATATGTATACTTACCCTGTCTCAAGTACAAATATATCTAAACTTACCCCGTTTAAAGTACATTTAATATATACACACTTACTAGGCCTAAATCTCGCAATAAATGAAGTCAATCCTGATTAGTTATGTCTTGTATCTATACTTACTCTGCCGAATGCACGAGTCATGTTTGTTTTGCGAAAACTGAACCTAGATAATTTGGTCCGTTTTAGTTTACACTTGCAAAAGACATCATCAACACCATAGAACACCATCGATTTTTCAGAGAAACAATTTTCAATGGGGATAACAGGAAAAACAGCTGTGACAATAATAATAATAATGAAGTGTACAATGTATCATAATATACTGAACCACAAAAGAAATGTCGCACCAATAGTGGTTTCTTACAGCACACACTTTAATTCACTCTAATTAGCAATCAAAACGGAGGGACTGAGTTCAAACTTGACAATTATGGTTAACACATTTTCGGGAATCACATTTAGAGGTCACACAAACAAAATCACCAAAAATGGTACCATTAAGATACCCCAAAGTCAGTATCATGAGTGGCCTCCATGGACCTCGACGAAATCGTTGCATCGTCTGTACATGGAATGAATTAGCCGGTTGATGAAGGTCATAGGCACTTGAGTCCATACTCTGCGAAATGCCTGATCGAGTCCAGTCGCAGTTGTCGGCCTTGGTTGGAGGCCATTCAGTCTTTCTTTGAATCTCGTCCCAAAGGTGTTCTATTGGACTTAAATCCGGACTGAGTGCAAGTTATTGTAGGGTTTGGATGCCATGTTGTCTTAGGAAGTCCAATGTTGCTCAAGCAGTGTGGGCACGACCTTTGTCTTGCTGGAAGATGTGATTTCTGTAACGTCCAAAATGTGGTACAACGTGGGGTCTTATTGCTTAATCAATATAGCGAGCAGCTGTCACGTCATTTCCTCATCCTGGACCAAGATTCTAGAACACCACGGTGTCAACTAACTGTTTCAGACCGATTGCCACCCACACTATGATGCTTGGACCACCCAACGAGTCTCTTTCAAAAAGTACACTCATTGGAAAACAGTTCCCCACGCCTTCGCCATACTCACACTCTGCCATCGACTGTCGAAACAAAATATTGGCTTTCAAGAGATACAAGCACAGTTCTCCATCGTCGATAACGCCAATTTCGATGCTGAGTTGCCCATTGCAGTCGGTTTGGGCGGTGATGAGCAGTGAGGATAGGACTACGATAGGGTCTGTGACAGCATAGGTTTCTTCCGCGCAAACGTTGACGCACGGAATCGGCACTAATGGGTCTGTTCCTAGTCCCAGTAGTATGGCGTGCAGTTTCCGTCGCTCTGAGGAAGCGATCATGAAGATGGTAGCGCACAATCTGTCGGTCTTGACGTTGATTTGTTACTGAATGTCGGCCTCTGCGTGGACGATCTTGGGTGCTGTTAGTGACCTGATACCACTCCTGCAGTCGGTAGATTGTCCTCGCATGAACATTAAAATGATTGGCTACCTTCCGTGCTTGCAATCGTCCCAAGACATGTTTCCTCTGATATCTCGTAAGTCGTGGCATGGTGATTGTGTCAAAAAAAAAATGATTTCAGGTGAGGTTGGGACTCGCTTTCATTGGTAGGGTTGTCATGACATGCACGTGCATTTTCATTTTCACGAATGTCATACGGAACCTTTTACCATGTCTGCCTTTTTCGGTGCGTTTGGTCTATATGCTCTTTCATCAGAAAACACACTGATGTTGGTACTGACTGTCAAATTTTGGATTGAAAAACATGTCAACAAAACAGTACAATCATAATAAAAACACCACCTTGCAAGAACAAAATTTTGCATTTGGTTTTGAAACGCGACCTTTCTTTTGTGGTTCAGTATATTTAAACCGACGATCAAATGTACATAAGTATTGAATATGTGTGATATGTACTATGTTATTTACACAGGCTATTAGAAGTACATGTATAATGTACCATGATGTTTACACACATTGTAGCCGTAGAACGTTCCATATGCATATCCCATCATTCTTTTCATTATTAGCTTATAAATTCCGAATACTGTTCAAAGTGGTTCCACATCCACCTCGCACCTGTTTACTATCAGTTTCAGTGCTACTTCTCGGCACTTTGTATACCCTGGGCCTGCTGGTGGTGGTGGTGGACATCACAAGAAAACCGAATGTGTTGAGTATGTGAACGAATAACTTAAACAATAGTTTGCAGAGACGAGGCGGATTCCAAGACAGCACTGACTATGACCTTTCGTCTGTCAGAATCATAGTGGGGCCAAAGTGGGGATTGGCTTATATGAAGACCAAAGCGGCGGTGGGATAATCTTGTGGTTAAAGCTTTCTTTCGTCAAGCCGGACTCGATTCCCCACATGGGCACAATGCGTGATACCCATATCCCGCGTCCCCCGCCGCAATATTGCTGGAATATTGCTCACTCGCTTACGTCAGTGTTTTTGTTGTTTTGTATTTTATATTTCCCCCAAATCAATATAGAAAAGATGTGGAAAGTTAAGTGAAATAAAAAAGCATTATATATTTACTATGTGTTGTGATTTGTGAATGTGTTGTCATCAGCATGTCATCACTTTGAAAATTTCACAAAAAATAGGAACCGCATTTTCAATGAGTTTATCAACTGCACTTCTAAAACTTTTTAAAGGCAGTTAGACAATTTTCTAAATCTGAAATTTTACCGACATATTCATTTAAATGATATTGATTATTAAACATGCAATTATTATTATGTTTCTTTGTAGAGGACCATGGTATGTTGGATAAATGAACAATTTAGATAACTGATTTTTGTCCATCGTAATTTCAGGTTTGAAGGACTTGTGTCTTGAAACAACGACTGAACACGCAGGGACTGAGGAAATAAACTCTGTCAAAAAGAAACGCAACCCCTGTCCTCAGATATGAAAAATTCGTTTGAATGAAGTTATTGCTTCCAAACTAAATGTTATTCGAATGTATTGAAATTATACACGTAATTAATGAAGATTACCATCCAAACAACTGCATTTGTACGCATAAGTGTATTTTATTGCTTATTCCGTCACAACGCATGAAATGACCCTCATGGTGACTTCGCACAAAAAACACATGCAAATCATGAAAATGGCAGTTAATGTAGGGGGTGTATAAAAGCCCATGTGCTTTCGTATTATATTCATTCATTTGTCGCCGAAAGCTGTGTGAAAAATGCCACGATTGAGTGCTGCCGACCGAAATATCGCCATTGGTCGTGTTCAAGCCGGAGAAAGTTTTGGAACTGTTGCACGGCACCTAAATGTTCACAAAACAACGATATCCCGACTTTGGAGCCGCTACAACAACTTCAATTTGACCAACGATCGCCCGAGAAGTGGAAGGCCAAGAATCACGACCCCCTTCAAGATCGGTACATCCGGGTCCATCACCTGCGTAATCGGCATGCCCTACCAACCGTGACTGCCACACAAATACCAGGTTTGAGGAGAGTGTCAGCTCAAACGATTAGGAACCGTCTGAAAGAAGCGGGTTTACGTGCCTGTAGACCAGTTGTTGGACCTGTACTACGCCCCTACATCTCCGCCGACGACTCAGGTGGTGCAACAACGTAAGGATATGGACTTTACAAAACTGGAGGCGCATCTGGTTTTCTGATGAATCCCGTTTTTCTTTTGCAACATCACGACGGAAGAAAACGTGTGTATAGGAGACGTCATGAACGTTTTGCGCCCATCTGCGTCCGACAGGGGACAGATTTGGCGGAGAAAGCGTTATGGTTTGGGGATCCATCTCATACAACCAGAAATCAGACTTGGTGATCGTTGAAGGGAACCTGACAGCCCAACGTTACATCAACCACGTATTACAGCCTCACCTTCTCCCGATTATTGACCAACAGACACAGATTTTTCAACCAGACAACGCCCGGCCTCATACTGCACGTGCAACAATGAACTTTCTGCAGAATTCCAACGTCAATGTCTTGCCATAGCCCTCTAAATCACCAGACCTCAACCCTATTGAACACCTGTAGGATACTCTGGGTCGACGCGTACGTCAACGTCAGCCGCCGCCACAGACGCTGCAACAGCTCGGCGTTGCACTGCAGGAGGAGTGGAGAGCCATTCCCCAGGAAAGAATCCGGCGTCTTATCCGTTCTTGTCCAAGGAGATGCCGTGCAGTGATTGCAGCTCGTGGTGCTCATACGAGATACTGAGAAAGACGCCCCCCTGGTGACAAACTGGTGTCTGTGAGATGACTTTTGAAATGACAATTTTAAACATGCCCATCTTGGTTATTATTCTGCCAAATTTCAGACTTCTGTCTTAAATAATAACAATGCTGTGTCGTCTTAAAACTTCAGATCAAAATCTCTAAAATACAGGGGTTGCGTTTCTTTTTGACAGAGTTTACAGGACTGAGGGTAAGAATGTCAAAACATTAAAATTAAGTCAGAATGATTCAGAAGAGGTAGCGATCACTGTGTCCTGCTATTTATGCATTTTAATATTTTCGGGGTGATTTGACAGTCATTCATATTGCCTGAAATATATACTGCTCATTGCTATTGCCTGAAAAATATTGTACAAGTAACCATAGTTCATTCGTTCCTGATTTCAGATAGCCAGCTTGTCTATTCCACAGATGATGTCACCAACTTGGTGGATATTTTTCGTCAGAAAATAGCAAGTAAGGCCTCATGACCTGATAGAGGTCATAAAAAATGGGACGTACATGTGAAGGCAGAGGAAAGTGTAGAGGCTCACCCGTGTACACTTGTTTCCTCTGCTGTGTTTACATATCTTTGTTGGACCCATTACGTCGCCTCGTAAGACAAACACAATAGGCACATTCTAACCCGGAAGTTAAATAAATAAAGTTCTAAATAAAGTCTGTCACTAAGGTGGACTTGATTGGACACCCCCGCCCCCTTTCTGCTTCATAGGAATGCATGTAACCTAGTTAAAAGAACTAGGTTTGGTGAATGGCAGTCTGCTTCAACCGCTTTCTGGACTTGATCGCATGCACCTTTCAAAGAATGATATGATGAAATGATAAGATTTAGAAATGTTTCAAAAAATGTTTTTCTCTGTGTTTTAGCTCTGAAGCAGAAGAAGATTTGGTCAGAGTTACCCCCCTTATCTCCGTGTACAGGCAAGGAAAAGAAAACATGTAAGGCTCAAATCATTACGACTCCAGCATTACTGCCAGCAAAAGCATCAGCCGAATTATAACAGAAAAGTCAGTTGTCGTCTTTTGTTGCATATCATTCAACATCAATAGGACCATTATACACCTATATTGGAGAGTCTGGACCAGACACCCTAAACTGTAATTCATCTTTCTTCTGTTTATAAACGTTTCAGTGGACTTGTGCAATGATACAGCTGCCTGCAAACACCCACTTCCGGCGGCTGACAGCCAAGAAAACATCCGCAATATTCTTACACCCGTGACCAAACTCAAAGAGGGGGCACTGGAGAGGATAAAGGGAGTTTTCAACATACAGGAGAGGAGGAAATATGCCTTTGTGACGGCAGCGTCAGCGGATCACTTTGATGAATCCCAGGAGATGATCATGACTCTGGATAAATACATCTTCCCTTATCTGAGCAACTACTCGTTCTATTATTACGACATGGGTCTGAACAAAAGTCAGGTGAAACTGGTAAGCTATTAACCTTGTCAAGTAAAGCCAAGTCTCATAAATAATGTGATGCCAAGAAGGTATGCATTATATACTTGGCCACGTTTACAAGAATAGGCTTTCATTGTAAAGATACAATGTTTTCAACTGAAGGATATCTGCAACTACACTTTCAAAGGTAGTTTAGTCAAGCGATAATTGAAGGATTAGCGGGATAGTGGGACAATAACACGACTATATAACATGTCATGTTTGTATTCTAATTGTGTTACAGCTACAGAAGTATGGAAGAGCTGAAATACAACGCTACCCTTTTAATTTACTTCCTGATCGGTTTTCGTACTTGAGGTGTTACACGTGGAAGCCCGTTGTGATACAGGTATCAGGCATTTTATGATATCTTCAAACTCTAACAGAAATATCTACACACATGGCTTAGCAATCCGTAACATATTCGCACACGCACGCACGTACGCACGCACTCATATGTGCATTAATAAAACGCATGCACGGAACACAAATAAGTAGCATATTGCTGGATCAAGTAGCATGTGTTTGGCGACACACACGAAACTAACTTATTATATACAACAGAATTATTCCAAAATACTTCTTCAAAATCGTAAGATGACCTTAATAGGCCCCCTCCGCACGCCCCACCGCAAGCACGCACTCACGCACTCATATGTGAATTAATAAAACGCATTCACGGAACACAAAATTGGCGCATATTGCTGGATCCAGTAACATGAATCGTAAGATGATGTTTATGGGGCACACAGGTATTTTAAGTACAAATTTGCATTGCAAATTATCGCATACATTATGGTAGATCGATGCTCAAAACGTCGATTCCAGTACCGTCTAGTACAGACTTGATGTTTTCTTCTACTGATTACTCATTGATAAAGAACAACTGGGAACGAGGCAGTTCATATTCCCCATTTACAAAATAAAAGAAAAGCCAGAAGAATTATGTCTGAACATTTAATACACCAAAACCGAAACAAAACAATTAACCCAAGGAAAAGTCACCACACTGCACATTCACCGAAAGTGTGAATGATAACTAAGCTTCTATTAGAATGTCTTCCCGATAATGGAAGCAATATAATTAGTAATATTTGTAACTCCTGGCTGGAGCTCTATATGGACGTCTTGACCCTCAGCAATATGTCTTACAATACTGACGATGCTGACAGTTGACCCTCGGCAATATGTCTAACAATATTAACGATGCTGACTGATTAACGCTGTCGTCAGCTTTAACCACGAAATGTACGATGGGTGTACTCGGGCGCGCTGTCCTGAGCTAAAAACGAAGAACATATCATTCCTTCTGTTCTTTTCAATAACACTCAGGTAAATTTTATTTCCAGGCTCATTTTGACTATGCTGAGTACACAATTTGGTTGGACGCATCTGGGCGGTTCGACAAGGGAAACCTACGAGAAATGTTCGACTTGCTGAAAGAAACAGGCGTGCTGTTGTCTCCATGGCCGAAATATCCTTTTGCCCAACATTGTTCAAAGTATATGTTTTCCTACTTCAACACTGAACCATGTCACTTTTCAGTTTATCACGAATCTGAAGCCAATGTTATTATGTTACATAACCAGCCATTCACACGACGACTTGTAATGGATCCATGGGTGTCATGCGCAGTGGACCCGAACTGTATGTGTCATCCAGGTGCAACAAAACTGTATTTTTGTTCATTCGGCAAAAGGAGGTATGGGAAATGTCACCGGTATGACCAGTCTGCCCTCAATTTGATTCTTTTACAGATGTTCAGACGGAATATACATTCTATACAGTATGTGAAAAAGAAATATGCACATGTCTCGAGGAAAATAGGACAATTGTACCTCAATAATTTGTTCAAAGAATAACTGTATCGTGTGTATGTACAGGTAAGTGTGAAATGTTCCAGTACATGCATAGGCTTTGTCTTGCTTGGAACATCTGTTGGTTTAAGTGATACAGTACTGCAGATAGAGACAGTAGCATCTCCTGACACCACTGACAGTTTAAACGAGACATTCACGATATATTCTTGCTTTTTGTCACTCAACATATATGTATGCCCTGTTGTGTCAAAGATCCCATTTGGTTTTTTGTCCCGGTTATGTCGTTAAGCATCCTCGGTGTCCACATAGTGTCACTAAATCTGATCAAATGTGTACATATGTGCTGCTGAACCTGACCATGTCTGTCATTAAACCTGCTCGTTTGTTCCGGTGAAGTCGTTAAGACTCATCGATGTCTACGTAGTGTCATTAAACCTGCTCGTTTGTCCCGGTGAAGTCGTTAAGACTCATCGATGTCTACGTAGTGTCATTAAACCTGCTTGTTTGTCCCGGTGAAGTCGTTAAGACTCATCGATGTCTACGTAGTGTCATTAAACCTTCTTGTTTGTCCCGGTGAAGTCATTAAGACTCATTGATGTCTACGTAGTGTCATTAAACCTTCTCGTTTGTCCCGGTGAAGTCGTTAAGACTCATCGATGTCTACGTTGAGTCATTAAACCTACTCGTTTGTCCCAGTGAAGTCGTTAAGACCAATTGATGTCTACGTAGTGTCATTAAACCTTCTCGTTTGTCCCGGTGAAGTCGTTAAGACTCATCGATGTCTACGTTGAGTCATTAAACCTGCTCGTTTGTCCCGGGAAGTCGTTAAGACTCATCGATGTCTTCTTAGTGTCATTAAACCTGCTTGTTTGCCCTGGGAAGTCATTAAGACTCATCGATGTCTACGTTGTGTCATTAAAGCTTCTTGTCTGTCCCGGGAAGTCATTAAGACTCATCGATGTCTACTTTGTGTCACTAAACCAGCTCCTCTGGTGGTGTCATTAAATACGTCTGTATGTCCCAGTGGTGTCACTAGGTGTGTCCAATAACAACATGGTGTCATGGTACAAGTTTTGTTTTTGTAATGCATACGCTGCATCATCATGGCAGGTTTACTTTTTCCCTTAAGTTGTGAAGATGGTGCAGGTGGAAATCATCAGAGTATGGTCAGGGGCCATTAGATTAGAGTCAGGTTTTAAAGCCAGGATTTGTTGTGGCCATCCCTCGTGCCCCAAACGTACGATTGCTTGTCGGTCAGCTAGTCATGGGTTTCATGAGTGAATAATTGACTTGACTCGCGTGTGTTTAAGAAGGATGGCATCTGTAAGGAAGGCATGCTGGGCGATGGCATATTTGACGATGAAAAACACACGATATACATTCAGATCATCCAACAGATTCTCCAATGAGATTTTCTTGTAAATGACATGTTGATCATACGTTTTCAATACTTTGCAACGTTTCACTATATGACCGGTGAGATTTGATTTCTTGTGTATTCAAAATTCTGTATATCAACATAACATCCTTGTTTAGCTCCCAATCTCAGTTCCAAACAACTGAAACAACTTTTGCCAGGTCCAGGCCCTTAAATTTTCAAGTGGAATTGTGCTGAAATTGTGCTTGTTAATGCATCCTGTAGATACCATTCATGCCATGTGTTTTGGCTTGGCGTGAGTGAGTGAATTTAGTTTTACACCGTTTTTAGCAACATTACGGCGGGGGACACCAGAAATGGGCTTCAGACATTGTACCCATGTGAGGACTCGAACCCGGGCCTTCGGCGTGACGAGCGAACGCTTTATACTCTAGGCTACCCCGCCGCCCTACTTCGACTTGGAAAGATCGTTGTCTATTATTTCTTCGTGTATCTGTTATCCGCAGCTTAATCTCCAAACTTTCCCGATGGGATCAGTGTGACGACTTCATTATGTGCTTATTATATCAATGATGGATTCATTATATTGCCTATGAATTCCAAATGTATACATGTATTTATTTTGTTTTCTGTTTTACCTAGAACTTCGCCACAAAATAAACATAGTGTCTCCAATTTTAGTTGTGCTTCATTTTTTTTCCTCGAATGTCTTAAACGAGGAATGCGTCGGATACAACTTGTCATTGCTGACATAATGGGAACACATGAGTGTCACTTCAGCAAGACAACCACATTCGGATGACCAATCTAAGGAATCGATTCCATACTGCCAGATTGACTGCTCGGGCCATTCCTGGCTTACGTCCAATCAGTTCCAGGACTGTACGGAACCGACTGAGGGAGCACAACATCCGGCCCAGACGGCCTTCAACTTTGCTCTAACGTCAACGACAGGCACGTCTTGCCTGTGTGCAGACAACATCTACGATACAGGGATGAGATCTTCAGGCCTCATGTTCAGCCGTTCATTCAAGGACGGAGACGTAACTTCAAGCTTTGGCAAGATAATGCTCTTCCACATGCCCCTCATGTTGTGACATATTTCCTAGCAGAACATTCCGTTAGTTCCCTGGCCAGCTGTTTCTCCGCACGCTTAGGGTGAAGTGGAGAGACGTTTACGTCAACCCATTGAGAACCAATTGGGACAAGTATTGGTTCAGACATGAAACAAAATTCCCCAAGCGTACTTCAATCGCTTAGTCTTGTCTATCCATCGTCTTTGTCAAGCCTGCATCAACGCCAACGGTGGACACACACGATACTGAATTTGTGGGCTGACTTTTGACATCACATTTCTTCAAGGGCGTGTCATAATGCTTATTGTTAAATCATACAGATTTCGATATTATCATGTCAACAGTGACTAAGGAAAACAAAACAAATCATGTTATTATCTTTTTTACATTACAAATGGCATAATATCAAATAATGCACAGTTAATTTATTCCTGTAGTATATTTTGTTATATTTTTTAAACAAGCACATAATGCCATAAGAGCTCGGGATATGCCCGTATGGAGTTATCTCCCTTACACCAGGCATTTTGACTGTACAAAATCCCACGTCAACGCAGGAGCACACGGTGAGTGAGTGTGTGAGTGACTTTAGTTTTACGCCGCACTCAGCAATATTCCAGTTATATGTCGTAAATAATCGAGTCTGGGACAGACAATCCAGTGATCAAAAGCATGAGCAGTACTGGAAGAAATGTTAACTGTTTAAAGAAATCCTGTATACATTCCCTTTTAGGCTTGAATGAAACGGTGATGTGTATTTACAGTTAGTATTTAGAAGATTACTGCTATTGGTACATTTGTTTTGGAAAATATGTACACAGAAAGTGGACATAATGCTTGAACAATTTTGTGCGAGAAATAAGACGATCTTTTACGCGGCTATGTGCCGTGTCAGGGTGAACTATGCGTCGTAAAATCCTAAGTTGTATATTGGAATTCAGCTGCAATCCCGTTCAACAGGTGCTTGGCATGAAGACTTGCATTCCAGCACAAGACACATTGCGTAAGTCAGTATATTGGTTATGTTATTATTGCGTATGGCATCATACTGGGAATGTCAACATATTGGCTATGTCAACAAGTTCCGTTTGTCAATATATTCCATATGTCAACGTATCTACTTCTGTAATTTGATTTGCGATTTATCTACGTGCTTAGTGCGGACTACCCGGGTTCGATTCTCCACATGGGTACAATGTGTGACGCCCATATGTGGTGTTCCCCGCCGTGATATTGCTGGAATATTGCTCAAAGCGGCGTAAATTCATACCCAGCCAATAGTGCGGACTAGATACCAGCTTCAAAACTTTCCTGGATTCAAGGACGGAGCGCATTCCTCGTTTAAGACATTCGAGGAAAAAAAATGAAGCACAACTAAAATTGGAGACACTATGTTTATTTTGTGGCGAAGTTCTAGGTAAAACAGAAAACAAAATAAATACATGTATACATTTGGAATTCATAGGCAATATAATGAATCCATCATTGATATAATAAGCACATAATGAAGTCGTCACACTGATCCCATCGGGAAAGTTTGGAGGTTAAACTGCGTATCACAGATACATGATGAAGTAACAGACAACGCTCTTTCCAAGTCGAAGTAGGGCGGCGGGGTAGCCTAGAGTATAAAGCGTTCGCTCGCCACGACAAAGGCCCGGGTTCTAGATCTCACATGGGTACAATGTGTGAAGCCCATTTCTGCCGTAATATTGATAAAAACGTTGTAAAACTAAATTCGCTCACTCACTCCAAGCCAAATCACATGGCATGAATGGTCTCTGCAGGATGCATTAACAAGCACAATTTCAGTACAATTTAAGCTATTAGACCTGGCAAAAGTGTTTTTTATTTTTTTATTTTTCATGAAACCAAAGTCTTCCATCATAAACGGTCATTACATAATGACATATACAAATACATGAACATAATCAGATATCCAACATACCAGGATATAACATAGTTAGACCAGTGAAATATCAGCCTGTATAGGGTGTTTTATGTGGTGCCATACCCAACATATCATGTTTTATATAGCGCAACATGCAGCATACAGTGTTGTATATAGCGTCATATCAGACATAGCATATTGTATATGGGGTCACATCCAACATATGCTGTATACTGCACAGCATCCAACATAAGTAATGTATATAGTGTCATATCCGAAATATCGTATTGTATATAGCATACCTGGCAAAAGTTGTTTCAGTTGTTTGGAACTGAGTTTAGGAGCTAAATAAAACCACGAGTTCCTAACAGGGATGTTATTTTGATATACAGTATTTTGAATAAAAATAAGGGATATTGCTATGAAACGTTGCACAATATACGATACATGAAGTAACTATATCGGTCATAAATCGGTCAAAAATCTAAAAGTGTTAAGTGTGAAACTAGACCAAAGTATTGAAAACGTATGAGTAACAAAATCATTTCCACGCCCACAAGAAATCTCATATCTCATAGGAGAGGAGTCTGTTGGATGATCTGAATGTATATCGTGTGTTTTAATCATCGTCAAATAGTGATGATAGGTGTTCGCAAAGAGGGAGCATGCCCTGCCTTACAGATGCCATCCTTCTTAAACACACGCGAGTCAAGTCAATTATTCACTCATGAAACCCATGACTAGCTGACCGACAAGCAATCGTACGTTTGGGGCACGAGGGATGGCCACAACAAATCCTGGCTTAAAAACCTGACTCTAACCTAATGGCCCCTGACCATACTCTGATGATTTCCACCTGCACCATCTTCACAACTTAAGGGAAACAGTAAACCTGCCACGATGATGCAGTGTATGTATTACAAAAACAAAACTTGTACCATGACACCATGTTGTTATTGGACACACCTAGTGACACCACTGGGACATACAGACGTATTTAATGACACCACCAGAGGAGCTGGTTTAGTGACACAACGTAGACATCGATGAGTCTTAATGACTTCCCGGGACAAACAAGAAGCTTTAATGACACTACGTAGACATCGATGAGTCTTAATGACTTTCCCGGGACAAACAAGCAGGTTTAATGACACTACGTAGACATCGATGAGTCTTAACGACTTCACCGGGACAAACGAGCAGGTTTAATGACAGACATGGTCAGGTTAAGCAGCACATATGTACACATTTGAGCAGGTTTAGTGACACTATGTGGACACCAAGGATGCTTAACGACATAACCGGGACAAACTGGTAAACAGGATATTTGATAC